TATTACTCCTTTGCATTTTAGCATTGCTGATATATTGTGTATCTGATGAAATATTGTATTATTTCCTCCTCTTCATTTGCCTGTTGCTTCAGCCTGTCATTTTTCTCTGACCTAATAAGATCTTGTTCTTTCCTCAAAGGCTACTTCAGATGGTTCCAAAAGGCTTTTTGAATCTTTCATTCTTTTGGAGAAGAATTGATCTCCCTCTGCTCTGTTTTACCTTTTTACTTTATGTGGACTGAGATTGTTATCCTTTTCATGATGCTATTACAATTTACTTAGATCATTTCTTTCTCTAGGAGATTATGAATTTCCTGAAATTGTCCTTTGTATATTGTCATTAGGTTCTCAACTAATAATTTTAATCAATATGACATAAAATATTCAAACACAAGTTACAATTATTTGTGGCTTAATAACAAGAGAGGGATTTTTTAAATGCAGGTTTTGAGTTTTATTTCATCTGTGGATATTTTTTCACTTTGCTGAATTTGGATAAACTAACAATGTAAAATAAAGCTAAAATAAATAAAGCATAGTGAAAGCATAAATATTCTATAGATCATGATAGAGTCTGGTAAACAGGAAGGAAGAAAGCTATAAGTCATGGAGTTACCTGAAGGCTAGTATTAGTTTACATTAGGAGGGATGATGTGAACTCCAAGACAATATGCTCACAGAGGGAAAACATACAATCTGAGATAAAGCGTATGTCATTTCTCAGGTATGGCAGGCAGAAATAAGCACCGGACATTGCTTCATGTCTCAGTTGACAAACTGAGTTCCTCAGTTGAGGAATGTATTGTATTCAACCTCTGTTTTAAAAACAACTCCATATATAGCTGATTTTAAGATTTTTTTCCTCTCCTGGGCAAAGTTTTATAAAAAAATATATATATTAATGTCCATTTCAAGCAGTAATGGATGATGTGCACGTCCCCGTGGTATAATTTAGTGACTTTTTGCAGTGAAAGGTGAAATACTGAGTGAGAATTGACATACTCCATGTGTCTTAAAATTCCACCAGTCCAGGCATGTGGGAGACATGCAGCCACAGAAACGCAAACACACTGAAATCGATAGTGCTCCCCCACGGCCTGGACGTACTGCGGAATGCATCCCCTGGGGACTTCAACGGAGCCATCTGGAAATTTTCAAACTTAATATTACGGCTTGGCTTTTGCAGAAACCCAGAAAAGGCCCCGTCTCCCAAGCTTTTCACCTGAGACCATGGAGTATCCATCGGCATAGATTCTCCTTTGTTCTTAGAACTCGGTGAGAAATTAACTGGAAAAGAAACAAACAGATCCAGGATCTGTTTGTGTTTATTTATCAGAAAACTCAAGAAAATGAAGACTCTCTCTTGTTACTATTTTTGAGCCTTTGGCAGCACAAGAAATGAGATCATCTTGTTTCAAATCTGTATTTCTTTTTAAACTCAATTTCCAACCCCATTTTACTCTGGACTCCACTTCCTTTATTTCGCCAATCATTAAAACAGAAAATTGGTGTCTCTGGTTGGGTGATTTGGATGTCCTGTGGCACGGAATGCCATATTATCCCATGCTGGACCGCAAGCTTACTCGCAAGACTCTTTCCCTCACAGCTGGCTTCATTGCTGGGCGACATGGTCTTGAAGTTCATTTGAAGGTGATATCAGAACTTTTTGAGGCGCTCTGGGATACATCTGAGTCTGAATGTCAGCATGCTATGCCACAGCTAATTCAATTTAGTGCATCTGAGTCAAGGATACACTTCTATTAATTAAGATTCAGGTCTTATCTGGTCATATGTACATAGCTTTTGATCTTTTCTACTTGTCCCAGACATATACTAGTTATTGCAAATAAGGGAAACAATGTTTCTTTGGGCCTGGCTTACTTCACTTAATATAATTTTTTCTAAGTCTTTCCATTTCCTAACAAATGGGGCAATGTCATTCTTTCTGATGGAGGCATAGAATTC